TGCCTTGCCTCCCGCTCTCAGGAATCTACAGTCTAGGTAGAGGAATAAGATCATCCCCAACTCCTAACTTTTATGGGAGAGGAAAGCAAGCCCCAGGGAGATGTAGGTACTCTCTGATCTTAGGATCTGGCCTAGGCAAAAGGATCAGGAGAGGCTGAGGTGCTAGGTCACAATGGGAGCCTGGGGCTAGCTCTTTGCTGAGCAGGCAGGCATCGCCAGGGACATCTGTCCTCAAGTGTGGGGTCCTCCTCCTCTGGTGTGGTATCCTGAGACTAAGGTCTGGGAAGCAGTCATGAGTCAAGATCAGACAGGCACAATGATCCCTAAAAGACCAGTCCAGAAAGAGAAATGAGGGGTCGTGCAATGTACTCAGGGCCTGTAATTTACAGCATTTTAGATTCTTACAAGCCACCTGAGAGGTAGATTTTACGACTGGCATTCTACAGATAAGGAAGATGAAGTTAATGGAGGTTATGAAATTCACCTAAGATCACACAGCTAGAGAGTGGGCATTCAGACGCAGCCCCACTCACCCCAGTGCCTTTCTGCTTCATCCTGTGTCGTGCTGCCTCACTGCCTTCTGCCTGAGGTCAGGCCTGCTTATGGCGATGATGATGCCAGGCCATTGAAAGAGATGAAATGGTCCCAGTTGCAGGAGAGGAGGTGTGCAAAGCTTAAAATGAGGCAGGACTAATAGGTCAATCGAGGTCACAAAGCAAGAGGAGTTGGCTCAGAAGGAGTCAGGCCCCTGGGTTTTGATTCTCAACCCTCTTGTACCCTGATGCTAACTACTTCTGAAACGCTGAGCTCAGGAATGGCTAGAGGGCTCAGCTGCAGGAGAAAGCTCATGTTTCCAGTGCCATGGGAGGGATGGGGAGAGAATGGAGAGAGGCTTGGTGGGGCCAGCCATGAGGAGAGGCAGGCTTTGTTGAAATAGCCAGCTTCCTCACATACAGCCTAGTGAGGCAGATCAACCTGGAACCAAGACCCATTGCTCCTAGAGGTCAGGAATTAAGACCCTTCCCTGTTTGGGTTTTCTCCCAGCGTAGGCCTGGAAGTGAGTGCTCAGATTGCAAAGCCAGAAAGTGAGAGAAGTTTCAGGCTGCTGCCGTTCTCTTGTTTCAAAGGACAGAACCTTTGGGTGACCCCAACAGCCAAGCCCCAGGCCATGTCTGGCTTGCACCAGCTACCCCCAGAGCACAAAGTCTCCTCCCTGCTGCCTTTTCTGGGCTTTCACCTCCTTAACATAGCCCTGAGCGTTTCTCCAGAACTTCCTGTTTGCCTGCAGCTGCACAGATGCAGGTCCCACCCAAGGGTCATCTGAAGGAGGCTGGGTGAAAGGTGGGAGTTGGCTGTGTTCCCCATAGCTCCTTGGGGTTTTCTCCACCCACACATGGGTTCTCTGGCTTCGCCACTCCCATCGGGCTCTGAAGCCAGTGGAGCAGAGGCCCCATATCCAAGTTAGCTCACATGAAGGTCAAGGTGACCCAAAAGGG